TCAGATCACCTGGAGCCAGATATCGAGAATTTTGTGACCCACATGGCACTGTTTCTAGGAACTGAACTCAGGTGTCTGGAAGAGCAGAGCATGACCTGGTCAGACAGGCAATCTTCTCAGCCCTGACTCTTGGTCTTTATACTAGAAAATTTGGTATATGCTCATTTCAAAGGTGCCTAACCTTTGTTTAATGTCCAGCCCTGGGCAGTACAGAATTCCTTCTATATGTGGATAATAAAATTACACATTCCTGGATTAATATCCCAGGTTGGACCTCATTAACATGTCATACCGCATTACAGAAATCTGTCCCCAATGACAAGAGTCCCCACCTCTGAAAGCTATAAGTACATTCACACAACTCTTAAAAATGCAGGAAGATTGGAAGTTTTGTGTATTCAGAACAAGCTCCCTCTGTAATTAGTTCATTCCTTGTTTGAGTTTTCGTGCAGGTAATGACAAGTTTGTGCCTGCTACCTACTTGTGAACAGAGTTCATCCAATGTCCTGAAAGTATATTCTAAATCAGGGAACTAAAATTCATGCTCTTACCCACAATGACATGCAAGGGATCCTTGGGGAAAAAAATGATTAAGCATTATATTCTCAGGATAGGAAAGGAAAACAAGAATGATTCTTAACCCTGTATGGAAAGGCTGTAGCTTGCAAAGCCACCTTTCCAGCACTGATTTCTTCAAATCAGCATACACAGATACTTAGTTTCACATAACTGATACTTCCCTTTGGCTTAGGATTAAGGAAGTCTGGCATTAGTCTTACATATCATAAATCTACATTCAAATCCAGTCTGTTAGCTCTACAGTCACAAATTCATGACAGTAAGGTCATTGCTTGGGCTTCAGCCTCAGCAATTTGATGTCAAGGGCAGAATCAGGCCCCTTTGTCCCGTTCTTTGAGTTATCTTCCTGATGCTATTATATTATGAGAGTTGTGATTTAAGTAAAATCAAGTTCTTAGGGACCAGATTGCTCCCTAAGTTCCCATACAATCATATCATTATTTCTATTCATAAAGAGAATAGAAATACTCAGCACACTGGCTAGCATTATAACTAGGTTTTTAACAGTGACCCCAAATTAGAACAAATTCTTGGATTCAGTTAGAACCAGCAGTATTCCAAGGGGAATAAGAAGTCAAAGGGAGACAAGACACAATACATTTTTGCTCAATTTCAGACACAAAAATTTAAACATTGTCCTTGGACTATAAAAAAACCCACATAAGTAAAATTAAAACATGGAACACAATTTACTGAAGACTCACTAAATCAAAAGGTATTTAGACATCCAATTCAGCCTTGGCAGTGGGGCATGCTGGCATAGACCTTTAATCCTAGTTACTGCAGGGGAAGCCAAAGGATTGCTACAAAGTAAAGGCTAGCCTAGACTTCATACAAAATTCCAGGTAGTTGTGGTTATACAGGGAAACCCTGTCCCCAACAAAACAGAACAAAACACAAAACAATCCACAGTAAAATAAGGAAAAAATAATATGCCTCCGTTGGTTCGGTAGTCCACTCGGAGTTCTTGGAATGTGGGGCCAGGGGAATTGCAGTAAGTCTGAATTTCAAAGTCAGTTACTTATAGGCCAACCTGGTCTACAGAGTGAGACTCTCTGACACAAAACAAAACAAGACAAAACCAATCTAAACAAGACTAAACAAAACAAAATAAAAACAACAACAACAAAAAGCCGAAAACAGGAAGTAGTGAAGGGACTGGAGATGTGATTGAGTTAGAGCATATACAGGGACCTGGGTTTCATCCCCAGTACCAAGACACAGGTGTAAGCATGAGTGTATATGCATGCCTATGCATAAACACACACACACACACACACACACACACACACACACGCCCATATAACATTCACAATTATTTTAAAAATATATTTTCTATGGGTGGCTTTCTTGTAAATATAAAATAGATTTGTAAGCAGCACCGCATGTGGAAATAGCAGTCCTCTTGGCTTCAGGACCTATGGGCAGGTCACAGATTTCAGGGCTGTGAGTGAGAACAACAGAAGACAGTGGGCTTAGAAACAGCCTGAGGAGGCCGGAAGAGAGAGGGGAGGGGGCGGGAAGAGTATGGTAAGGTGAGATGTGGGAATGTGGTAAGATCGACTAGCCATGGAGGGAGTGATGGGAAAAAAAGTGACAGTGTAAAACCTAAGTTTTGATAGGATCCCCACACTTGAAATTGCATCATTCATTAGGGAGCCAGTTAGGGGTGAAGCATTCTAACTTTTAAAAATACTTTCTGGCATTCACATCTTTCACTTCCTACAATAACAGAATCATTTTAGGCTATTGGCATTCCTTTCTCATTCAGTAAATGAATAATGGCATTTATACAAGTCTGTGTGTTTCTCCCCATATGATGTCACTCAGATTGTAGACCTGGGTGTATTTCCCTCAATACTGGATATGCTGTGACACCTATAATGATTTTGTTCTCCTGAGGACTTCCCTAACTCTTCACACACACACACACACACACACACACACACACACACACACACACACACACACACACTGCATGCTAAGCCTGCCGTTGCGTATAACCTCTTATCGTGTTTTCCTCATACATCTCCTACTTGCTATTCAAAGACACCAAAACTACTATAAAACCACTAAAACCACAAGCATTCTATTATCAAGCAAAACAGTGATTGATGAGCAAAACCATTAGGATCGGGCTATGCATCCATTAGTCGAAGCATCTATTTGTGTGCCAAATACATATTGGGAAATTTCATGCATTTGCAGTGTCTAACGCGGAATCTCTTGGAAGCCCACTTTCATATGTCCATTTAAGTCACCAAGCATAAGTCTCAGCTTGTAGCATGTGAACAATACAGAATGCTTGCACATTTGATACCTTGCCCTACTTCTATAAATACATCTGTCAGAGGGAGACCAAGTTACTGGAGACACTTTCAGCTGAGTGTCACTGTGAAGCCCAAGGGACTTGGGTGATGGGATAGAAAGCTACATTTGAAAATGTTTGGACTTTCCACTGTGGATTTAGGGCATTTCTTCCTCTGTACACATCCCAGCTGCTGAATAGTTTACATACAGAACTTACTTTTGCTGTCTCCTTAACTCAAACAGCAATTAACTTATGTATCTTTTAAGTTAATATAGCCTTAGTTTTTTTTTTCCTTTGTCCCATATAAGGATTTTGTATATTCTATTATGTCTATTAGAAACACAAACCACTTGTATCCAAAGGCCTTCTCTTACATATTTTGATATATGACTCTTCCATACTATGCAGCTAATTAATTTGTAATGGGAAATAACCATGTTTTGTTTGAGAGTTCATATATGATGCCCACAATATATTTGTTAGTGTGAAAGATATACATTAGAAATAATATAATTTTTATACTGTGCTTTTATTATTTGCATGTAAGGTTATGCATACAGAGGTACATAAATATATTCATGCAAATCGATTCCACTTTTTCAATAACAAATTACTATATTCAACATGGGTGTTAAATAAAAGAAATAAAAAGGAAAGGACATGACTTCTAGGTATGTTGGAGGAAATGCTTTATTATGGTTATATGGGAGACCATATGGGGAGAAGGGGAGAGAGAAGATACAGAGAGAAACCAGGTACAGCAGCCAGGAGGCCAAAGATACGAGAAAGAGGTAGGAGACCAAAGTGTCTGGATTATATAGATAATAGCAACTGAGGGAAGGGCAGCCCAGCCCCTGGTCTAGAAAGTTCAGGGTAGAAGATGCGGTTATGCTGTGATCCACACCCACTAACAAGTAGGGGCTGAGGGATACCTGGAGAACCAGCTGGCCAAGACACGCTTTGATTATTTTTAAATTAGTACCTCAGCTGTTTGTCCTGGGATTGAAACTTAACAGATGCTAATTCTAAATTCTTAGGAGGCAATGTTGTCATACCCGTGTGTGTAAAGAACATTGCTACCAGAAAGAAGCAATAACTTTCACTAATGTATTATCCTTTCATTAATAAATAGTAGTGATTAGAAATTAAAGTCTCCGTTGAATTATAAACTGTATGCTGCTTCCTCGTGAAGGAAACCAACTAATGTTTGTGTAGCTGTCAAATGTGACATGGGTTTCAGCTGTCTTTGAGAAGTCAAAAGAGCAGGGATCGGGTAAGAGATAGAATAGCTGTAGGAGCATGTGTGGGAGCTTGGGGGCTTGCAGGATTCCAGAATAGTCCATTCATTTAGAAGACAAACTATAGACACCAGATGGAGGGTGTTTTGTTCTTGCCTTAAGAGTATGCATTTTGTCCTATGTGCCACAAACTTCAGAGCTCCTAGCTTCTCTTCTTGGCTTGATGTATCATCCTTCACGGCTATTCACTTTTATCTTAATATACATTCTTTGTAGGATAGTGTAAGTTGTATTTCAAACATGTATCAGCAATAGCTCGAGGCAAAAGTTTCTATATAGTCAAGGGATCAAATTCATTAGTTTTTGTGGAGATGCTCAAAACAACTGAGACGAGGAACTAACTTCTAAAACAGAACATTTGCTCAGAGGTCATGCTCAAAGTAAACGGCACGATAGCGGGAATAGAAGCACCAAATGTGTCTTGTGTCTCAACATGTTTTGCCTCTGCCACAAAGAGAATAAAGAGGTGGGAGAAGGGCAGGTGCAAAAGTCAAATTTAGAACTCAGAATGCATGATTACATATGAACATGTACGCTGTTCTTTTGCTAAACAGAAGTGATATTAGTTGATAACCCAGTTCATCTTAGTTGATTAACAAGGGTTCAAATCTTGATAATAAATGTTGGAGACAATTATTGTTCAATATAAATGTTTCCCTCACTGAATTCCACATGTGATTCAAAAGAAGAAGGAATTCTATCACTCTGTGTCACCCCTCGTTAAACCCTTGCAAGGGCTTATTGGTGGTTTATAAACAACCACAGGCATCTTCTTCCATATTAACTAACTAGTAATCTTTGCTGTACTTCAGGCATGAACTCCTTGAAGAAGCTCGTAGAAAAGGATTACCTTTTGCCCAGTGGGATGGACCCACGGTGGTCGCCTGGCTAGAGGTAAGCAAAGCAAGCCAAAGATTTGGCTTAAATCAATCATTGCTACTTTGATTATTTGGAGACAGATAAAGACCAGTTTCGGTAACCACAGCTTTCTTGTATCATCTAACTTCTCATTATGGAAACACATACATATGTATAGACTTGTGACCATTGAGATAGCATGGATTCTTTCTTGCACTGGGATAGGACAAAATATGCAAGGGTGTAAACAGAAGCAGCCCAATAATCTGTACTCTTCATGTGTACTAGAATAGGAGAATAAATAATTACTGCCATGTTTTGAGGGTTTTGAGGAAATATCAGTTCCTGTCCATCATTGTTATCAGAGAAAGAGAAGAATTAAAAACAACTTCCTTTCACACTGGACAAAATGCTTATGAATTATCTGGAATGTTCTTCATTTGTTTATAATTCGTTCCTAAAATGGCTACTGTTCAGCCAGATTTAGAGACTTGTGCACAAGGTGAAAATCAAGACCAGTGTTTCCTCCTTAGTCTAAATCACATAAGCATTCTGGTTACTTTATTAGTTATTAGTAAACTATTAGTTTATTAATTGATGTATTTATTAAATTTTGCTTGATGTAACAAGAATAGCATTCAGTGTTTCCTCTTCACTGCAGTACTGTGGAAAATAAAGCATTCTTTGACCATGATGGAGGACAGCACTCTGCTAGGGAGAGAAAGGCATATTTAACCCCAGGTTACCTCCATGTTGAACACCACTAGTATTGTCTGACCTTTGCATTCCCTTCCCCTAGGTGGTCTAGCCCATCCCCTAGGATAGCTGATGTCAGGAGAAAACACTGAGAATTCTTTCTTGCTTGGCCAAGGCAATAGCATTCATTGAAACAATTTAGGGTTCCAAAGTAAGAACATTATCATCATATCATATTCAGAGATAAGTAAATATCAAATAAGAAAAACTAAAGCTAATTTTTCTTTTGAAATGTTCACTTAGACAGATATGACTTTTTAGGTTTTCTTTTATTCTTGGACTGATTGAAATAAACCTGAGTTTTGCTTTTGTTATATTCTTTCAAAGTAATTAATTATGAAGTTACCTCTTCAAACCTATCATTTAAGTTACTATGTCAAAAACAAACAAACAAACAAACAAACAAACAAAGAACAAAATAACCTGGAGTACTAGAGGAAAGGTTTAAGAAATCACACCTTAGCAATGACAGGGATTCTTTGTTCAGATGAGCTATGGTTTGACAGAGGGTTCATTTTTATTTGGGCAAGGGATAAATTAAAAAAAACAAAAACAAAACAGATTTACAAATACTAAAGTGCTGGGAAATGTCAACCAGGGAAGTCAGAGCTAATTAGACCTATCCTGGGTGCTGAAGTTGCTCCTAATGTGTTTCTTAATGTGACTCAAATCACAAAGCAGAATAAACAAGATGAGCAAGCATGCTGAGACAGTGAATGGGAGCCCTTAACATTTACCTCCCCTCCCTCCTCCTGGTGTGCACAGTCTATAAAGAATGTCCTGTGGGAGGCAGGCTACTCCCCTCCATGCCATTTATCTACATCAAAAGCTCTTCAGTGTCTCATCACAGGTGACATTTGTAACAGTGGATTGGCAACATTTTGTGTAATGTTAACCAGCGTGGAAATTCAAATGTCTCAGAAGATGGCTAGGGAATCATGAGGGATGAGGGAAGATAGAGAGATCTTGAAGAGTTTTAGTTTATTAACCAAGAGAAATGGCCAAATATCTGTAACCTCTAGTGTCTTTGTCAATATAAGGCTAATACCATTTTTACCATTTTACCCTTCTGGAACTCAGTATGGGCCATACAATAACTATATGATACCTTTATATCCTGTGTTTGATCTCAGCCACAACTAAAGCTAAACTGATTCAGATTTGGCATTCTGTTTCTGGTCTCTTTCCCATTATAGATTTATTATGTTGTAGGATATATAGAAATATAGATGACTGCATCATTTAATCTACTTCTGGATTACAAGTTATTCCAAACAAATATAGATTATCTCATGAGTTTTACGGGTTGGATGTAAGTACTTCAGAGGAATTTTGTTTTGGCTAAGGTTCCTGCTTTGATGAAAATCAGAAGATTAGCAATTCAAAAATTTACTACCTAATTGTTGTTTGCAACATATCCTCAGTCTTTATATATCTATCTCTCTAGTTAAAAATAATAACATTTATCTTATGGAATTGTTGACCACAAAGAAATTTCTATTTGTGAAAATAATCTTGAATTCCTAAATTAAATGATGTACTAGTTTTCCTGTTGACACGAGAAATATAACTAACAAAAAAGGCTAAAAGAAAGGAAGGACTTCTTTGGGCTCACATTTGATATTCAATCATTTATAGAAAGAAAGGCAGGGAGGCCAGAACAGACATTAGTGTGACAGTAAGACTGCAAAGCAGCTGGTCCAATCCACCACCAGCCAGGAAGCAGAGAAAGAAAATGCTAATGTTCAACTGACTTACTGGTTTTTATTCATTCCGAAACTGCCTCCCATAGGTGGTTCTACCCACATTCAGGGTAATCTGTCTTGCTCAGTTACACTTTTCTGGTAATTTCTTCACAGACACTCCCAAGGGTGTGTTTCATGGAAAATTCTAAAATCCAGTCAAGTCGTACTGAAGATTCAACCATCACAGATGATGATAACTAAGATTATTCTAAACTCTGCTTTTGTTTGTTTGTTTGTTTGTTTTTTTGTTCTTGTTTTTTTTTTTTTGTTTGTTTGTTTTTTGTTTTTCTTCCAACACAACAGCTCTGGTTGGGAATGCCTGCTTGGTATGTGGCGGCATGCAGAGCCAATGTGAAAAGTGGTGCCATCATGTCTGCACTGTCGGACACTGAAATCCAAAGGGAGATTGGAATCAGCAACCCCCTGCATCGCTTGAAGCTCAGACTGGCCATCCAGGAGATGGTTTCCCTCACGAGTCCTTCAGCTCCTCCGACATCACGCACTGTGAGTCCCTGTGCACCCCTCCTTGCCCGGAGGTTGACATCATAGCAGCCTAAACGCAGAGAGCACAACGTGACAGCTCTCATTTTGGTGTCAGCGAGAGTTATTGTAAAGAGATACAGCTTGCTCTTATTAACCTCGCTGCTGCTCCTTTGGATAGGTTTTCAATCGAAGAACTCTGATTTCCATCAGACTTGAAAGCTGCAATGAAGATGGACTTAGGAGCTAGCGTTTAAAGGAGGATTTACACTCTCCTCCCAAGCTGAAAGATCTCAAAGCTTTCTACTTCTAGGAATCTCCTTTTCCTTTTATTGAAGTCTGGCATCTGCTTGGGATTATTCCTAAGCAACACAGGTTTCTGAGGGATGCACTGTTTAATATATTACGTGTAGAGAATTTCCTTTTAAAAACTGTATATGATTTGATGTTTTATAAATACAAATTGGAATGCTACTCTACAAAATTTGCCCCATTTGTAATTCCTTTTATAATGGTATCCATAATCTATAAGTATAAAATGATACACTGAAAAAAGGCATTCCTAACAAGTATATAATCATCAAGAAGTACTCTCAAATGATATTTTATTCTACTATTTAATAAGCTCTTGCGGATAGATGTGTTATCCCTTGTGTTAACTAGATTTCTTCAGCCCCCATCTTATACAACATAAGGAAATATGAGAGAATAAAATAAAATTGATGGGGGAAAGTGGTATTGCTTTATTGCAGCTTTCAGGCACAAAACAGACTTGAGTGTGTTTTTAAGATGGCCTTAGGTTCTATCTTATTTACCTACACACTCCCAGTATACTTGATTCTAAAGGCAGAGCATGGTAATGAAGTGTGATCCTAATTAGTCTCATCAATAAAATCCCAGAGTCAAGTAGAAAGATCGGAGAAGCAAAGGAGCACCGACTAGAGAGACTTCTTAGCTCTGCCGAATCCTAAAACTGAATGGCCGAGCTCCTGTCTCCTGCCTTATACTCCTCTCTCTGCCCAGCCTTATCACATCCTGTCTCCACCTCCCTAGTGTTGGGATTAAAGGTGTGTGCCACCACTGCCTGGCCTCTGTGGTTAACTAGTGGCTAGCACTGCCGTCTAACCTTCAGGAAAGCTTTATTTGTTAGAGCACAAACAAAATATCACCACATGGTAAGGTTTCAAAGACTTATTCTATAATTATATTTTAGTTATTTCCTCAATACAGTGTAAGAAATATATAAGTAATTTCTACTACAATGTTATTTTAAATAGATAAGAATGTACTCTGCTAATAGCTAATACAATCCAGCTAAAGGTAACTTAGAATATACTTATGGTAATATTTGAGGTCATTAAAATAGTTAGTACTTTAAGCCAAATTCAGACTTGGAGATTTTTATGAGTGTTTACAACAGAGGAAATAGCATTGTAACTTGCTTATAGAGAATTCTCTTCTCCCAAAAGTAAATGCAATAAGAAACATTTTATATTTTCAAATCCTGCAAAAATCAGAACAGACTTCCAACTTCCCGGTTTAAAAAATAGGATATACTGTCTCATTTCTTAAAGTTAGAAAGTCAAATCCCTTTCCTAGTGGAAAATGTTTTGGAAAAAGAACATTTTCCCCTGGGATGTTTACCCTGAAGCAAGTTAAATTAGAGATTAAAAATAAAACTACACTGAGTTGTCTTAAAAGCAGATGAAAATGAGGAATGCAAGAGATCCTTAGAATCTAGCTGCAGGTTAGTTATTTTGTTGTTTCCCTCAGAACATTTTTCCTACTTGAAGGTCACGAGACCTCCCCAACACACCTTTCACTTAATGTTCTCTATAAAGCTTTCTGTAAAATACTCTAAAACCTTGGTTTCTTTCCTACCGTGCATTAACATTTTGTGTACACTTAAAGGTCTTTGTAAAAATATTTCTTTTCTTAACGCCTCATCTTTGACTAGACCAAACAAGAATAATACCAATGTTTGCTCCAGGCTTTAAAATTATCATCAAGTATATTGCAATTATTCTAAACATAACCTAAAACATAACCATTGCAGAGCTGAACGGCGTTTCAGTGGATAAAGTTCTGGCCATGTGAGCTTGAGCAAAGAACCTTAGATTCCCAGGGAAAATACCAACACTGGGTGAGATTTTGGTACACCTGTAAGCCCTATACTGGGATCAAAGATCGGAGGGAAGGAGGGAAGCTATCTGAACCTCTGAGTTCATAGTTTGGCAAGAGACCCTACCTCAATTAAGTGGAATACCATCAAGAGACACACCTAAAGACAAATATGGCTTCTATTTGCACATCTATATAAATATGTGCACCACTACATAATACAAGCATGCATACACGTGCACGTGCGCGTGCGCACACACACACATAGTTATTGCATAGGACATGCTTCCCAGGTATACAGAGGATGTAAACTATACATGGCTCTGAGTTCCCAAAAACAAAACAAAAAAAAAAATACAGTAAGGAAGACATGAATAGTAAGTGCAGTGTTTAATTCCTACATGTGAAACAGAAGCAGAATATGAAAAATAATAATCTTTTTAATGCTAAATCTTACTGGAAAAATTAGTACTAACTTTTCGTTAAATTTTTAATAGGGACTTGTTTGTCATTTTCTCTTATTATAATACACATTGCTTTGTGATTCCCCTTCAAAATTAGTAATATGGCATAAATATATTCTTCAAGTATTAAAATATAAATTAATACTTTCATCTCTTCATTTTAGAAATGACATAAAATATAAACATCACTACCACTAAACATTTAGTAATTTTAGTATGTGTAAAATATGTACATATATTACTGCACAAAATGTGTGTATGTCCTCAGCAATATTTAATTACATATGGACAATTTATTTTCTTCACACCATGAAGTGGCAGATTGTGTTGCCATTCGTCCTGCCTTACCCACCAGTTATCTTGTTGCTCATGCTTAAACTTTTTAAAGTCCTGGTAAACTTAATGGTTTAGCATTTTCCAGTAGTTGTGGGAGCATTTCAGAAACTCTTCTGTGTTTCTGTTGAATTAAAGGGCGGGTTGCCTTTCTACTAATGGTTTACAGTTCTTTCATCATAGGGCTTGTATTGTATGCTTTAAGTAATCCACTGCTGCAAAATGCACATGGTAGGCACAATTGTGTTTCTTTTAAAATCACTCTTCTGCATTTACTTTCTACCTTATACTCCATCTTCGTGAAAGCATTCACCCATTTATAATGCAAATGCCATTTGCTTTTATAAAACAAAACTCTCGCATAAAAATTGTATTCTAAGCTAAACCAGGAGCTAGGGAGAGAGTAATCCAAATCACTGACATATGGGTTTGGTTGAATAAAAAGTAGGTAATATGGAGGTGAGGCACACGACATTGTCTTCCACATGCATTTGTACAGACCTACATGCTGCCTGCACACAGATGTGCCCACAAACAGACACATCATTTTAAGATATTTGCAGAATTTCTTTCCTGTAAGTGATCTGCCTGCATGTATGCCAGCTGGCCAGAAGAGGGCACCAAATCCCATTAGGAATGGTTGTGAGCAACCATGTGGTTGCTGGGAATTGAACATAGGACCTCTGGAAGAGCAGCCAGTGCTCTTAATCTCTGAACCATCTCTCCAACCCCCATTCTAGAAGATTTGATTAGTTCATTTTAAGTTGCTTTACTTTGTAATTCACCTATAAAGTGAACAATACATCAAGCTGATAACAAAATTTACTTTGAGCAAGATGAGATGTAGAAATATTCTGAGATCTGGCTGGTTGACTTCTTATAATTTTGAAAGCCGGAGTATTAATTATTTATCCTGATTCACTCGTATGAGTTATTCTTTAAGATAATGAAATATTTATTTTGCTGCCATAGCTTTTTCCTGGATGACTTAATTAGGTAAGGACTAGAATTGGTAACAACCTTTAAGAAATTCCTACCCAACTCTCACTTAGTAATAGTTTGTAAGTATTCTATCCCTTCCTCTCCTAAAGGGGGAAATAAGCCAAGGAGAGCATGGAGTTTAAGGAGGCATGCCTCATCAGGTACCAAACGTGCCTCCCCATAACTCTGAAAATGAACATTTCCTTAAATTTAGCATCATGGGATATCTTTACCTCCTCATCTTAGTCTGTTCTTGTGTTGTGATTTAAACTTTTACTATTTTTCCAGGATGAAGTACGTACTTTTAGTTCTTCCTCAGACACAAAGAATTTGATGGCTCATTGTTTTGCCATCATTCCAGGGCAATTACTGAGAAGTGGCAATACAAGAATTCAAATTTCCAGCACAGTAACCTGGAATGCACTAGGGCTTGGGATCCTTTTGTTTTGTTTACTTTTTTGTTTGTTTGGTTTGTTTTGTTTTGTTTTTCCAGACAGGGTTTCTCTTTAGTGATTTGGAGCCTGTCCTGGAACTCGCTCTTGCTCTTTAGACCAGGCAGGCCTGGAACTAACAGAGATCTGCCTGCCTCTGCCTCCTTCCTGAGTGCTGGGACTAAGGCATGCACCACCAATGTCCACCATGCACGTAGCATATCATTAGTCCCCTGCTAGATGACACCATCCACTAATAAGGCTTGCTGCTGTAATGTTTTACTCTTTTGGCTCCCAAGTAAATCATACACAGAGGCTTATTAGTTATGAGTGCCCAGCCTTAGCTTGGCTTGTTTCTAGCCAGCTTTCTTATCTTAAATTAACCCTTATACCTTTGTCCTCTGGGTTTTTATGTTTATTACTTCTGTATGTCTTATTTTCCTCCATTCTCCATGATTGTCTAGGTGGCTGGATGGCTGTCCCCTGATATCCTCCTCCTGTTCTTTGTTTTTTGCCTCTATTTTATCCTCTCTGCCTTCCAGCCTCACCTCTCCTTGCTCCTTGCCTGGGTTTTAACTGTTCAGCTCTTTATTAGGCCCATCAGGTGTTTTAGACAGGCACAGTAAGCCAGCTTCACAGAGTTAAACAAATGCAGCGTAAACAAAAGTCACACACCTGAAACTAATATTCCTCAACAAAAGATCACCTATATTTAGGAACTGAGCATTAACTGCTGTGATAGTAAGCTTCTCAGAAAGCCCCAGCTTCTTTGATATTTGTCCTTATTCTTGTTCAAACCAGTATTGGTATGTTCTTCGGTCTTGTTTTCAAGGCCCAAGATTCTTTCGGTTGTTCGTAACCTCCTAGATGAGCTGTCCTGCTCCTCTCTGAAGACTTGAACCACTAACTGACACTTACATGAGAACTGTATCCTCTAAAGCTACTGGGAAGAAAGTAAATTGGTTAATTTGCTTACAGGATATAGAGTAAATTATCTGAATAAACCCATTAAAACCTCAGCTATTCTGGAATGGTAGTCCATGCATTTAATGGACTCAGGAGACAGAGGCAGGTGAGCTCTGTGAGTTCAAGGACAGCCTAGAATACTTAGAGTGAGATAATGTCAACAAACAAACACCAAAAGCCCAAGCGCCAACCACCCTTTACCTGAGTGGACTGTAGAAAAGCTATTTCATGGTTTATTTCACAAAATTATAACCCCCTCAAATGGTCTACAAAAATATATATCATGGGCTGGAGAGATGTATCAGTGTTTAAGTGTGCTCACTGTGTAATCAGGAGTTCAAGTATCATGATCCAAGCACTCACATTTGAACCAGGAATCCTACACATGTTTAACCTCTTCCCACGGTCACGGAGGGGAGAATCATGGGAACTTGCTTACCTCCAACCATGCCAAGAAGGCTCAAGCCTCATGTTCAGGGAAGTCGTGTGCCTCACAGTATCCGGACACAAAGGAATGGAGAAAGATAACCAGCACCTTCATCTTACACTTGCCCACCTGTGTAGACACTGAAAATATGGGCCTACACTGCACTCACACACACTCCATCTCATACACACAAGAGAAAACAAGAAAAACACATTTTAGAAAAGGAAACCTTCACGTGAAATGGAACTTCTTAACGTGCAGCTCCTGAAAGCTTGGCCATCACATCACATGTTCACAAATTGCCTGGAATTATGCTTATTTTGTAAGTGAAGATTATTACACAAACCATAGCTTCTAGAGTCTTACCAATCTCAGAATACTTTGCATACCTCCCAGTACAGAATTACAGAAAACCTGTGGAACAGTTTTGTTCCACTAAGAGATAATACTGGTCAAAGCCCTTATGGGAAGAGTAATACCATCATTATTTGGAGTCGCAATCAATGGAGAAGCTGCATGTATCAGCATTAATGAGACATTCAATGTTATGAGTGTCTCTTGTATTGAAAATCTGTTTCATAAGTGTATGTTTCATTTTCATAGGGAAAATTGCCTATATCTAAATTCTGAAACAGTTAAGTGTATTACGATATTTAGCCCTCTTAACATTCCTGATTTATAATTGTGAACCTTCCCTATACAAATCTTTGTTATAGAATTGTGCTTGTGCATATTATTAAATAGAATATACATAGGAGAATAGCATGTATGATTCACTAATACACAATTTATGAGACTTCTTTCATCTGAAACAACACTCATTTTATATCCCATGTAATTGCTTCTAAAATCATGTCAAAATACATTGTTCATTATTCATAATTAAAGTCAAACATAATATTAGGTGAAGTGTAGAAAATCCCTGGAGTACCTTGTGATATGTGTATATTGCCTTTGCTGTTCCTTCCAAAACAATAAACTAGCAAGTTTCATGACATGAAGAACTTGGCATATAGATTTCCTGGAAAAAAAATGTGAAATTTGATGTGTAGTGGAAGGAACCTTAAATAATATTATGATGTTATGGTAGTTTTTCCCCCGCCGGTCTGGTCCCACAGCCACACCAGCCCCAAATAACACACAGAGATGCTGTATTAGATATAATTCTGTTGGCCAGGTACTAGTTTCTTATCGGCTAGCTCTGTCTTAAATATTAAGCCATTTCTATTAGATCTAAGTATTTCCAGGTGGTCTCATCTTACTGGAGAGAGGGCTGGGACCTCTGTTCTTTCAAGTCTCTACATGCTAACTCCTCCCTACTACTTCTGGAATCCTCTTTGTCTCCTAGTCCCACCTATCTTGATTTTCTATTGGCCAACAGTGTTTTATTCATTAACCAATATGAGAAACATATTTACAGAATGACATCTCCCATCATTATGATCCCTATGTTAATAAGTAGATTTTTAATTCAAATTCTTGTTTATTTAGTGTGTCGACCTAATAACAAGATTCTTCGGCTAGAAAAGAGGAACTTCTGAAAAGATTAGGCCACTATAGAGAAAATTCAGTTTTATTCTGTGTTTCTCTGACATGGTATGGACATGGCACTGGGGCAATTGCTTATTATGCACAAACAGGAAAAACATATTACAGTGGTATCTTAGTTACCGTTCAAGTGCTGACAAAGCAAGTTAAAAGAGGAAGGATTTACTCTGTCTTACACTTTCAGAGGGATTAAGGCCACTGTGCTGAGGAAGCCATGTCCACACCCAGGAAGCACATGTACATGAAAGTGAACATGAAGTTCTGGCCACAGTGACTCAGTCTACCAAGGAAGTTCTACCTCCTAAAAATTCCACAACCTTCCTCAAATTTGTCTCTGTTTGGAGAGTAGGCGTTCAAACAAACACACAAGCCCACAGGTGACATTTCACATTGAAACAACCAGCAACGGTGTGATAAGATACAACTGAGTGTTTGGGAATGTGACAGTATTGATGAGGCTGCAAAAACATCATCTTTTACTAAGCCAATGTATCTCAAAATAATGTGTTAAGTCATTTTCCTCTCCAAAAGTGCAGGGAAGAAAACAATCAAATAAAAACAATCAATCAAACAAACCCCTGGCAACGATCACGCTGTTTTCCAAACAGTCTATGGGATCTCCAGCTTTTCTTTGATGGCCAATTTGCTGAATAAGAGCTTGTGAATGAAATTCCCTTGATAAACAACTAATATATTGGGTCACGACATTAGAAATAAAAGAGCACAGTTATATTATTTTATAGTTAGCTTGCCATTTTTTCAAAAATGAACTTGGCGATAGCATTCTCTTGGAACTTGAAGTTTTTACCAAAGCACTTTTTTGTTTAGTAGCCAAAGAACTATTGCAAATATGAGCATCACAGCATGTTCCTGTCCAATTGGTCCCTTGAGTAAATGAAAAAAGGCTTCCAGGCTGTAGACTCACAATGCATGTGTAGAGCTGGAGTGATGTGTGTAAAATGATGTTGACTGACAGAGGTGTCTCCTTTCTCTCTGCCCTGTTCCTCCTCCGTGGATGATACTGGTTCCATTGGGATCCTCTCTAGCCTTCAGGCAATGTCTGGGTGACCCACGAAGAAATGGAAAATCTTGCAGCTCCAGCAAAAACGGTTAGTCTTCAAAGCTCTGTTGAACCCAAACAAAAGTATTTATATGTAGAAAGAAAAAAAATGGCAGAAATCATGCAGTAAAAAACAAAGAAATGGGGTGTGTTATATACTTATATACTTACACAATAATATAACTGATACTTTGGTTATATATTTCCTTTAGTAGGGCTCTTTGACAATTTAAAATGAAATAGTGTTAGATTGTCATGCGCTTTTAATCCTAAGTGTCCATGGGCTATGCTTGTAATATGCCAACAGTAATAATTTAGTAAAACTTAATGACACTGGAAATTATGATAGCTGGTACCTCTTGGTGGTGTTAAGCATGGTCACAGAACTATATGTTACTCAATCGAACATAATCAGTTGTACAAAAGCTTACGTTGAATCTTCACTTTTAATGTAATTACATAGTTTCTTGGGCGAAACCATTCCACATTTAGACCTCTAAGGAAAAAAATTACAATGTTAAATTAATTTTTTTAAGCTCAGTTTGAAATGACTTCAAGGGTTCTAATCACCTGTTTTAAAAATATGACGTTTTACAGAATCCCTTTTCATGGCAAGGATCAAAGTTGGACTTGCCATGTATTTTACCTCTAGCAACTTCATTTTAAAGTACTTTGATTTTCATTAAAAACTTTGATTATCTAGAACGCAATGGTGTAAATGTGACAATGTAAAGTCACATGCTAAATTGCATTTTTAGAGCATACTTTCTTCTGTTTTCTTGGTTGGCTGTTTTGGGGTATGTTTGCTACTAAGCTTTGACAGAAAGATACAGTTATCCACTTCGTTAATTTCTAGACCTCACCTCATTTAGGTCTGTAATCTTTCTGCACTATTATGTAGGAACATATGATTATGTTTGCACTAAATTTGAACATTTATATAAAATAAAAAACATCCAGATCAAATTTTTACAAATCTCATAAACTCCAGTAAGTTTTATGTATATCTAAATGAGAGTTAATTAAAATGTGTGTTCTTTGGGAAATTGAATGGGTCTAAGTATATACATGTCTGCTTCTGTCATGATACTTAACATTACAGTTATTCTTCTGGTAGAATTGTTTCAATATTCACTTGAAATTAATTTATGTTTACCTGCTTTATTAATCACTTCCTGCTGCTAACCCAGAAAGAATCTGAGGAAGGAAGCTGGGCCCAGGTAGGAAACTCATATGCTTTAAGACATAGTAAAATATGCGACATAAATTAGGAGACTACTGTAGGTCACAATATTTGAAAGCATCACTTATCTTAGTAATTAGACTGCTGTATATACCTAAATCACTTTTACACCTAATATTATAGGTGCATCATTAATACACCATGTTTTGTAGCCAAGATGATTACCATTTCATAATTGGTATATGTAATAGGGTAATTTTTCATTCTTCCTCCAAAGATGGATGTATAACTTAAATTTCTCTGATATTACTGTGTAATATATGCAACCAAGGCGTATATGATTATACAATTGATATCTCTGTGGAAGTCTTAAAAGACTTTTGATAAAGGAATGCCTCATATTCTTGAATGTGTTATGTGTAGTGTTTGGGGGTTGGAGCAGTGTCAGCACAGCAAGTGTAAGATGAAGACAATCCTCATTATTGAAATGATTACAGGAGATAGAAGTTTATATTAAATGAGCCCAAGTGTGCAAAGAAAACAATGCACACTTCCTTCAGCATTTCTGCAAGTTGGATAACTAAGAGAATAAATGGAGGACGTAAATAAAATTTGGTACCTTTATAAGGATTTGTATTTAAACATGCTATAGCAAAAGGTCATAATAAATTTTGAAACAAACCAATTTCATAATTCTTATGAATGAAATTCCTGATTTTTGCTATATTTACATTGTATAATTGGAACTGAATTCATAGCACAATTATTCACTAAGTAGACAACACTCTAAAAGTAATATCCTAATAATAACACCCATCCTTTAAATTAATATCCTCAAAAATGAATGATGCTTGAATTGAGTAATGATAGTTTATATAACTTTTGATTTTACCTGGAAATTCTTACTTTACAAAAAAAATTAGCATATCTGTCCTAGATTTTGACGAAGCCTGCTTTACACACATAGGCTAAATTGACTGATTTCTGGTCAAGGTTTCATACAGAGATATAATAGATGCTCAATATACCATCTTTTCCAAAACAAAGTGCTGACTAAGTGCGATCATGCTGTCTTTCACCCTCACTGGTGTTTATTTACTGAGGTTTCTGTTTCACATTAGGGTTTGCTGTGTCACAGGGACAATCGCAAAAGGACCATTGATAGAGGAAAATGGTGCAATATTTAAAAAATAAAAGAAATAAAAGAATTTTACCAGTATGGAATTGTTAGGCTTAAAACACATATCATCCTTCATCTCTCTACCTATATGTTGTTTTTTAACTATTAACAAGACATATATTTGGACAAAGTTTATTGTTTTAAAATAAACAACAAGGTTTTTTTTTGTTTTGTTTTTAACAGCCAAATGTTCTAACAAATTATTCAAAGTTTGCTTTGTGCATTCAGGTTAAATGTTATCTCTTGCTGGGCATTGGTGGCACAAGCCTTTAATCCCAACACTCGGGAGGCAGAGGCAGGAGGATCTCTGTGAGTTCAAAGCCAGCCTGGTCTACAGAGAGAGTTCCAGAACAGGCTCCAAAGCAATACAGAGAAACTCTGTCTCAAAAAACCTAAAATATATATATGTATGTGTGTGTATGTAATACATATCAATATATATTATATGTATATATATGTATGTGTGTATATAATACATATTATATATATTCATAATCATGAAATTTCAGTTACAGTAATTGTTAATATCCTCCATTTACCATCTCATTTTATTGGTTAAGAAACTTGACTGCTATAAAACAATTCCAGTGTCCTGTCTTTCTGCAGACCCTGGCTTATGGAGATATGAACCACGAGTGGATTGGAAACGAATGGCTTCCCAGCCTGGGGTTGCCTCAGTACAGAAGTTACTTTATGGAATGCTTGGTTGATGCACGAATGTTAGACCACCTTACTAAGAAAGATCTTCGTGTCCATTTAAAAATGGTGGATAGTTTCCATCGGTAGGTTTTCAGAAAAGAACGAGAGTAAAAACATAAACAATATGTGGCTATCTAGCACAAAACTGGAAGGACAGTAGAAATAAATGTTTCCCAATCAAAAGGTCTGTATCATCTGCTCACAACAAAAGCTAGGGCAGCATATGAAGAGTTTGCTAATGGAGAGCTATGGTTATGTTATATGTACATATACAAGCTATTCACACTTATGTGTGTACTTTTGTTTTTACTTGAGTGGATTTTTTAAATTATTTTTTTAGTTTATATTAGAGATGTACTTACAGGGTAGAAAGATGGGTTAATGGTTAGGAGCACTTGTTACTCTTTCAGAAGGCCCAGATTCAATTCCCAGCATCCATATGATGGGTCACAACCATCACTAAGTCCAGTTCTAACTGATCTGATGCCCTCTTCTGATATTCATGGGTATCAGGCTTGCACATGCTAGCAAAACATTCACATAAAATAAAATAAAAAAAATCCAAGAACAAAAGAAAAAAATATGAATAACAGGGTATTTGTGGCTTCAACCTTTGCAAAGGGGTGTGATTATAAACCATGTTACTTGAGGACAAACTAGGTAAAACTCTTCCATGAAGGACATAATTGTGCTTTTTGTTCTTACATAGATGTTCATTTTTTTAATAGCATATTATTTTTTGAAAAACTATTAATGAATTTTTTTGTTTAAAATCTTAGAGAATATCTACATGAGAATGTGTGACAAAACTTTTATTCAGATTATTTATCTTTTATCAAGCTCAGGCTTATGATGAATTATACTATTTATAAAATACTATGTGGTAGCCAGCTACCAGTCTAGTTTATACTATTTATAAAATACTATGTGGTAGCCAGCCAGTCTAGTTTCTGGAAGCAAAAGTTAAGATTTTGTTTGGAGACCTCCAATTCTCTCTGTGTGTCTATGTTTAGTTTAGGCTTTCCTCTGTAAGTACATCTACTGTCAGTGATTTTCCAAATTATTTATTCTTAGAAAAATAGATTAGGATCTACTTGATGACATCACTGAAATTGCCTTCTAAAGGTCTTATCTCCAAATATAATGAGGATAAAAGCTTCAAGATATGCATATAGGAATACATAGGCTCATATTTTTTTCTAGGATTTCAGATGTGTCACATTATTAAAATACACAATATAGAAATGTATACAATATTATGTATATAGATAAATAGACATAGATAATATAGACCATCTGATATACATGTCTGAGTATGTTTTACTGCTAAGCTTTTCAGAAAATAATTGTCAATGATTATTACTTTAAATCTAGAAGCACTTTTATTTTCCTATCATACCATTCTATAGCCTTTATTTCTAATATTACTCAATCTATTATTCCAATTCTAATTTTATTACTTCTTTCTGGCCATTTTTGGGTTTTGTTTTCATGCTTACGGCTGTAAGCCCTTAATTTTTTTCTGTCTCCTGGGATCATCATTTCCCTATGTCATACATGCTATGACATTCTTCACTAAGCAAAACAAAGGCAACAAGAAGTCTATTTATTATCACCCTTTCCTCCTCTGAAAAATCCCCCAGAATGCATTTCATGCATGGAATGCAAGTCTTGCCTTGGCATACTCAGATCTCTCACACTTGGGACTGCACTTTTCCACTAATCCCTAGCCTGAATTTCAGCCCTACATAGTGTGTCTCAATGACACCACATCTCTGAAAATTCATCCTCACTCCTGTACAATATATAATGTTTGGCTGCCCTGGTAGTCCAACATTTCTTGCGACCTACACTTCTGAGTGCCGTGATGTTTTCTTTTCCACAGCCCCCTCTGCACAGAGTCTCAGGAGACTCTGACTTGTTCTTTCCTACACTCTGCCTTTTCCTGGTGGTGTTGTCTACTTGTTCATATTTTATACCTTGCCTTACTACTTGGTTCACTCTTACTTTTCATCAGTCAAAGAAGCACTCATTTCCTATAAAGTTATTTCTGCTTTTGAAGAGAGACATTAAGCTCTTTGAGAAGGAATAAAACACTAATTTGCTAAAATGTACTGTAGAAAATGCTAAATTGAAGACAGATGCATAACTATGGTTAACTATGTATGATTATGTGTGTATGCATATGGATATGTATGGAAATATGAATATCTATGTCTATTTTCAAAAGTATGAATATCCTTTTAAAGTATTTTCTGTGTTTTAGAAACATTTTATTCTTGAGATCATTATAAATGTAATCCTTTCTAATTGAAGGGTGCTATTGTGTTAATTGATAAATGGGCTCTGCTAGAAAGTAGTTGGCCATAATTAATAACAGAATATTCTTCCACTGCTGATGCAATTTAATGTGATTTCTTCTTTCTAAAAATAGAACAAGTTTACAATATGGAATTATGTGCTTGAAAAGATTGAATTATGATAGAAAAGAACTAGAGAGAAGACGAGAAGCAAGCCAACATGAAATAAAAGGTAACACGTCCTCATTTAGTAACGAAAGTCTTTCCTATGGAGGTTTTTACATCTCTAATCTTAAACCTAAGATGATGCTCAATCGTCATCAGACTGTATTACACATTTTGATCCAACTATCATTGCTTTTTTTTCCCAATCATAGCACAGAAAAGGATAGTGCCACATCATAGGGCTAATCACTCTGAGGACATACTTTAGACTTTCTGAAAGAAGATTTAGCTCTCTGTATTATGTATTCTGTCCATGTTAAAGACTGCTTTCTGTAGACCTTTCGTTTTTTCAAACTTTTAAAAGAATATTGTCATTATAATTCAGAAAACATGTTGTTTCAACAGCAGTATATTATATCATTAAGGGAAAAGAACCCAACATAGGAAAATCTGGGGGACACTAAAACCATACCAAATTATCTGTTCACCTTAATATAGAGGATAAAATATGATTTAAAAAGCAAATACGTTAGACTTTCATTTGTTAGGGACAATTAGTTCTTTGTAAATGTTAAAGAAAACCTAGTTGTTTAATATAGATGTTCATCTAGGCTTATAACATTTGAATTTAATTTCAGTTCTCACAAAATTTTCATAAATATTATAAAAATTATATTGGGAATTTATGTGAAAATTCTATAAATATCCTCTCTCTGAAATTCACCAGTCCATTAATAACTTTAACTGATTATGGCATTATGATTCAAGACTAACAGTTGCAATCATTCTGTATTTAAAGACAGTCTGTGCTGCAGATACATCCCAAAATCAATATATTTAATAATTAACCACTCTAGTATTTACTTTTGAGTTACTATAAGAAAATATCAAAAGAGATGCTTCTCCAAGTTCTTGAGTCTAAAAATTGACACAGCATGGCACAGGCTTCTATGGGCACATCCCTTGACCTTGTAACCTCATGGTGGCTAACAATTAGGGAAGCAAACGGGTTCTAAGCAGTTGTATTTCAGATAAGATTCTGTGTCTTAGTGGACTCAGTCATTTATAGCAACCCCCTTATGAGAATTAGCAAGAAGTCCACAAGAATCACCATGGTGATATATTCAGAAAGCAAAATCAGCCACAACTGTAGAAGCCAGGAACTAAAGCATGGGAATTAAGATTCAGTGGACTCAGTATAGATTGGGTGAGGTTTATTGGGGGAGAATTCACTTACACATGAAACTGATGACCGCAAGCTGGTTCCCACTCCACAGACGCCAGACGCCACCCTGCCACCCGGATGCTCTCCGCAACCCAAGCAGGAAGCAAGAGAGCGAGCTCAGGTCCGGAACCCCAGACCTAGCCTTCCCCATCACATCTGCACCTGTGACCACGCCCAAATGGGCATGGTCAGTGAAACAGGTGTGGGTGGGGTGGATATCTTACTACAAGGCACATACCTTTATTCCTAGCAGTCAGAAGCTAGGAGGTGGTGGTACACACCTTCAATCCTAGGACTCGGGATTAAGACATAGAGAGATCTCTTTGAGATCAAGGCTACCCAGGGATACAAGAGCTTGAATCATTCTAAAAGAGTAACAGAGCTCTTGTCCTTAATCCCAGCACTAGAGAGGTACATGAAACCGGAGTAAGGTCTCAGGATCGGGATTGACATTGAGTTTCAGTCATTGGTTCTCCAGACAGGCTGAGAAGGGGCAGTAGTCTGAGACTGAGGGAAGACCTGGTGCTTGGATCAGCCCTTTCAGCCTGAGCTTGAGGTGAGAGCCGGCTGCTTTGCCTCCCTGATCTTCAGGTTGAACCCCAATATCTGCCTCTGGGTCTTTTAATTATTCGTGTTACAAATCACTTTACTCTCTTTCGAAGGAAGTACCCAGGGCTAACCCAAGAACCCCTGGCTGATTTTCACTTCAGCACAGGAAAAACGAACAAACAAAACAAAAACATATCAAACTATCCATTAGCTTTATATAGAGGAGAAAACATGATGATTTCATAAACCAGTACACTGGATTTTCCCTCATTAGAGAACATTAGCTCTTTCTAATTGTTAAAGAAAAACAAGTTTGGATATAAGCATCCACTGCCCTCTGTTTTGTTTTTTTTTTTTTTTTTTTTTTTTTTTTCGGTTTTTTGTTTGTTTGTTTTGTTTTTTTTATTTAATAAATATTTTTACATTACTTGTATTGTTTTAAAGGAGGAAAATCCTTGTTAAATGTTTCTCAGGTTTTTTTGTTTGTTTGTTTGTTTGTTTTGTTTTGTTTTTTTGAGGAAAGTTTTAATACTATCTTCATTAGGATTTCTGTTGTTCTGTTGCTGTGATGAAACACCATGACCAAACACCAAACAGCAAGTTGGGGAGGAAATGTTTTATTTGGTTTACAATTTCCATATCACTGTTCATCATTGAAAGAAGTCAGGGCAGGAACTCATAAACAGGGCAGGATCCCTGAAGCACGAGCTGATGTAGAAACCATGGGGGAGTGGTACCTACATGCATGTTTCTCATGTTTTGCTAAGTCTGCTTTGCTAAAGAAGCCAGGACCACCAGCTCAGGGTTGGCCCCACCTCCAATAGTCTGTGACCTACCACATCAGTCACTAATTTAAAAACTGCCCTACAGGGCTGCCTACAACCTGATCTTATGGAGGCATTTTCTTAGTTTGGGTTACCTCCTCTCAGATGACTTTAGGTTTGACATGAAATTATTATCATTTATATTCCCATTTCCCATGACCTATGAACTGACACTTGAAAGCATTTCATGATAATGAATGGGATTTTCAATGCCACATCAACTGTTCAAAGTTGGCTCAACTCTGTTTCCATCTTATATTTCTTGTAGGGCTTAATTTGTATAAGAAAATGGGGTGTTTTTACAAACCTCTCTCTTCCCATATTTAAGTTTAACACTGTTGTATGTGGTGTTATATTGTTTATGAGCTAATAAAGCAACTGGAGAGCAAAAGTCAAAGCTAGTCACAGCCATAGAGCCCGACAGTGGTGGCACACACCTTTAACCCCAGTGCTCAGAAGATAGGCAGATGGACCTCTATTAGTTCAAGGCCACACAGAGCTGCAGGAAATTAATCCAATCTAAAGGAGAAACAGCTCACACAAAGGTGATCTCAGCACTTGGGATCCCATGCCTTTAATCTCAGGATATGAGAGGTATAAAAGGAAGAGGCAACAGACTCATGGGAGAATTTGTCTCCAGCCATGTTGAGGAGAGGCAGAAATCTAGAAATGCAGCCTGAGCTTTAGTGGAGAACATTGCACTCTGAGGATTTGTGGAGACAGGGCAGTTCTTTCAGCCCAAGGTAGTGGCCGGCTGCTTTGCTTCTGATCTTCAGCTTGAAGCTTTAACCCCAATATCAATCTCTGGTGTGTGTGTGTGTGTGTGTGTGTGTGTGTGTGTTACAGTTGTATTTTTATTTATGGTTACCTGCCTTGGGCTTCCCTTACATTCATTTGTGTCAACCTCAGAACATTTATCACTAGCAACTTTGAACATTTAATTATATCTAGAAAGCTGTAATTGAATGCTTATGAAGGCAATATTTGAAAGTAATTTTCCATATAGACATTGTTCCTCAGTGAGCAGGTAAATATGCAATGGATTTCTTCTATCACATAATTTAGCTTGCTACCAAGAAGCAAAAGCGTATGTTTTTTTCCTTTGTCAAAAATCAAGTTCTCTGATTTTTCTTTATTTTTGGAACCCCAGGAAATTGTAGGTTGTTTTAAGTGTATTGTTCTATAGTTGAATTAAAATTCGCGAACTAATGGAACAAAGACAGATCCCAGAATGAATGTGGGTTTGAGCTAACAAAGGATGTTTGGTTTCATGAGTAGATTTTGCCCATGGGATGCCACTTTCTCGTGTTCTTTCTGAAGTACCTTACCCAACTAGATTGCATTATGCATCGTCACACTGCATGAACATCTTTACAGACAGATTGATCTGGCCCAGCAGCAAATGCTCTATTATTATTATTTGGCAGTTGCTGCTTAGACTGTAGCCCTGAGAAAAAGCTTATCAGATTCACTGTGATTACACACAAAGAATCACATATAAGTGGCTGGGAGCGAGATCGTTAGTAGACCCTGCTTCCTCCAATTGATCTGATGGCATTTAGAGGAAAGCTCTCAACACTGACTGGAGGCCTCTGTTATTATCGAAAGTGCTATTTAACCTTGACCTTAGAGAACAGTTTTCTGACATGAGGAAGGTGTCAAGAATGTACTGACCTTCAATTTGTTGAGAAGAATCATCTGACATTGCTCTTCAGCCATTTGTCCTTCAGGTCAAGAGGATTCTTATTAAGCATACATGCCAACACATTATTTAGCTGTGAAAGGTATTTTGAATATTACAATTACTACGAGGCTATGTTTCATATAAGAAAAGTTTCAATTAGAGTTTATATGCCTCAATGCCATAAATGTATTGTTTTCGTTAGTTATTCTGAACTACATGCATGATGGGGATTTTGTTTGCTATATATTTGTAGTAACAAGCTAATATGACTACTTAGCATGAACAAGCATGTTTATGTATGCATTTGCATCAACACATTGTAACGCTGAAAACGGGACATCTCTCACCATTTTTGAAGAAAGTTTGTGTCATTAATCTAAAAAATATTATGCATTTAGTAAAAGTGGTGTGATCCATCCACACTTAGGCAGTGCACTTAACCAATAGTTAGGAGTCAACAAGTCCACTGAGTAAAAGCAGAGTCAATCAATATCTTTTCAGGAAAACAATATCAGAAAAAGCTAAAATGGAAAATAAATACTAGAATCACAAATTTAGACAGAAAAACTATGAAGATAATACAAATTGCAGTATGGATATACACCTAAAGAATATATTGGTGACCCCTACTGGCCTTTGCAGTTCCTACTGTGCCTGCTCTATGGAGCCTTGCATTTTCTCCTTCCCCTGCCCTACCTGTGTGCAGGGGGGGGGGCACTCTTCAGGAAGGTGTTAAGGAGGAGGCTCTTTGGGGGTGGACTCCCAAGTGGAAGTTGCTTTCCTAG